ATCTGTTTCCACAAGGAAAACCACAAGGTTGTGCAAAAGCCATCTCTATACAAATTAAACACTTCAGCAGACTAAAAACTAGTAATTCCCACTACTCAAATATCTCATTATATTCCTAAAGATCATATATTTTGTATTTGCAATTGCTAAATCAGAAATTTATTTTAAATGAGGGTAAACATCATAAATCAGGTCAGAATCTATTTCTTTATGAAAATAAGCTATACAATATATGCTAAACCATTTATATATTTTAGATGTCAAAGGAGCCTTAGGCAGTTTTTTTCTTTAAACCTGTACTAATCCAAACAATTCTTGATGAAATTTGAAAGTGATAATTTTACTAGGTTGTAATTTTAAGTGTCTGAAAGAATCATTTCTCTACAGAGAAACTTGAAAACTGGGCTGATTTTCTTTGTCAATTTATTGAGTGTTTTCATGAACATCTTGATAGTAAGCTTGTGAGAGATCCTTCAGATCCAATTCATTTACTGTAGCATACTATACTCTTTATAAATATTAATGTTCACAGATGAAAAGAATCCTTCTATATCAAGAACATTGATGTGTAAGCTTTGAGAAGATTGAATGTATTGGCTTAAAAAACCTAATTATGCAATAAAACATTTTCTCAATTAAAATCTGTAAAAATTTAATGACAAAGTTTTCAATTTTAAATCATTTTGACATAAAGATAAAAGCACATGACCAACAAAAGTTATATTTATTAGATTTTAATTTCTGTTTAGAGAAAGGCTGGCATCAGTTTATATGATTATGGTCATTTTATCCAGTTTACTGAAGACAATCATCAGCATAAACACAATGTCCATGACTCTGAATATTAATATATTACTTAAAGTCTTGTTTTTAAAAGGACAATTGAAACAGGGTTTGTAATGGGTAATTACAGTGATATGCTATTTAGTCAATCTAACGATGAAAAGAAGATAAATAAAATTTATTCAAATTAGATTGAGGCAGTGGTGAAAATGTGTATTTATCTTTATTAGAGGAAGTAATATATTCTCTGATGAGTATTTTTTTACCCATTTTGTTGTACATAAATATACATGTATGAGTAATATTTGTTTCTTTTAATTCTCCTTAACCTATGAGGTATTAACTTTGCATCATAGTATTTAAGTGTTGTTTATTTTGCATCATAATATTTAAGTTATAGGACATCATCAAGATAAGGGAACATCACCCAAGGATTTTTGTTGCAGAATATTTAACTATGCCAAAATGTGTTACATTTGTTTAACTAAGTAAAGATGTGCTGCATTTGTTTATGTTGCAGAATATTTGTTTAACTAAAGATGTGTTGTATTTGTTCAATTATGTAAAGATGTGTTGCTATTTTACCTTGCCTACCTAAGACACCTGATTGCTCTAATAAAAAGCTGAATGATCAATAGTGAGAGAGGAGGTATAAGTGGAACTTCCAGACAGGGACAATAATTAGGAAGAGGAATCTAGGCTGGGGACAGTGGGGGAGAGGGAGAAAGAAAAAGAGACACCAGGGAAATGCCAAGGGCTAGACAGACAGAAAGGGAGGAAGCAGGAAAATAGGACACATAGAATGAAAGAAAGGTAAAAAGCCCTGAGGCAAAATTTAGATGAACAGAAACAGGTTAAATTAAGTTAAAAGAGCTAGTGGGACAAGCCTAAGCTAAGGATGAGCATTCATAATTAATAAGAAGTCTCTGTGTCTTTATTTGGGAGCTGGTTTGCAGCCCAAAGAAAATTCTAACTACAGACTTTGATCCTTTTCTGGGGAAAGAGTTCATTCATTTTCAGTTGTATAGGGTAGCTCCTTATGTCAGAATATGAGCTTGATGCTCATTATCTTTGAAGATTAAATACTGCCATGTATTAGATATACCATGTTGTGGAATATTATTTTAAGATGCCTTACATTTGTTTATGGTGTGGAACATTTGTTTAATAATGCAAAGATGTGTTGCATTCTTTTACATTGCATTTGTTTATCTCTGTGAAGTTGTGTTACTTTGCCTGTCAAAAATACTTGATGAGTCTAATAAAGAGCTGAATGTCCAATAGCAAAGCAGGAGAAAGGATAGGCGGGTCTGGCAGGCAGAGAGAAAAAATAGGAGGAGAAAGCTGGGAGGAGAGAATGAAGAATCAAGGAAAGAAGGGGCCAGCCACCCAGCCAGATAGGGAACAAGAAGGAGGGAAATAGAGAAAGGTAAAAGCTCTGAGGCAAAAGGTACATAGTATAATTTAATTTAAGAAAAGCAAGCAAGAAAAAAGCCAAACTAAGGCCAAGCATTCATAAGAAAGAATAAGACTTGGCTTGATTTATTTGGGAGCTGGGTGGCAAGACCCCTGAAGAATATAGAGCCAAGAGAAAAAAATAACCAACTACAATACCAAGCTGGCATAGGATGGATTTGTGATATCCACCTGGCTTCCAAAGATACCAGACACATGCTTAATTGTTATCCTAGATACTTTTCTCAAGGCATGTTATAGATTAGAGTAATATTAGGAGTAAACTTTGAGTTAGGCTTAATGTCATACAAAATGTGAGTGGAAGTCCTCAATCAGCTGATGACCTAAATAGACAAAAGACTGATCTATCACCACAGGAGAGGGAATTCTACAGCAGACAACCTTCAGCAATTGCAGCCCTGAGCATTTTGGACAGCCACCACATGAGCCCATTAAAGATAAACTTCTTTCTCACTACACACACACACACACACACACACACACACACACACACACACACACACGCACACATATATATATAAAATATAATTATATATATGTCTAAATAAACAATATATAATAGCTATTATATACACACACACACACACACACACACACACACACATATATATATATATATATATATATATATATATAGTTTGTTCTGTTTCCCTATAGAGCCTTGACACACCCTCATAGTTAAGTGCTTAAGTGCTGAATCAAGGTTGCCTAACTACCAGAATTGACCTAGAAAACAATATATCCTCATAAATTCTCAGTCCCTCTTCTATAAAACCAGACAATAAATTTAGACTTTATGCATAACCATTCTGAATATTAGATGAGCTCTATATACGAAAAGTGTTTAAATAAGCATGCTCAGTAGAGTGGACATTGTTCTAGACAATCAATAAATCATATATCTAAAAGTAAAACAATTGCACTTTGAAAGAAAGGAGATTTAAAAAAATGTGGATTTTTTTTCCTATTTGCAAGGTCTTATAGAAATCTAATTTTAAGAAATATTCAAGATGAAGGAAAACTTAAGTCACAAGTTTTGAATTTTTATTGCTGCAGTGGAATGCTAATGGCTACAGTTTGAAGACAATCAAACTGAAAGTGCAGCTTGCTTTATACAGCAGCTATGCTCTGCATAGATACCTTACTAGTACAAATCTGACTAATCACATTTAATGTGAGGCCTAACTTTAATTGTTTCTAGAAGAATGCCTCTAGTTTCATAATCTGTACTTGGACCCTATTAATTTCTTCCAGTTTTTTCCTATCCTGCCTGCTCACTGTCTTACAACATACCTACCCTGTAAATCCATTCCTATCCCCACAATTCTCTACAAAGTGCATAATATTTATATTTGTGCTTACTGTGCTTTGGTTTTATCAGAAGAAACCATAGCTGAATATTTATACCTTTTCAGCCTTGAGCAGAAGTTTATAAGGTGGAAGAAAAATGTGAAATGTTAAAAGAAAAGATGATAGACACTACTATGTAATAACTGAATGTTCCAGAATAACACAAAGAAAAAATTTAAAGGTAAAGCACAAAGGAACACCTAACTTTCAAGTATACTTTCAAGTACTTAATAGAAACAAATAAGACATTATTATTTTATTGTGTGTTACTCTTTACATCAAATATTCATATAAATTATTTTATTTAACTTCCTTATAATCCTGTAAAATGGGCAAAAACCCACAGATATTATCAATGTTGATAATAATGATATTTTGGGAAAAAACACTATTTGGGGCTTTTAGCTTAATGAGAAACATTCCTAACCTTTACCTATTAAATCCAGTAGCCTTTTCAAACTTTTCAGTTGTGGTAATCAGCAACATCTCTGGATGCTGCCAGGAGGATCTCCTGTTTTACAAATTGGGTTGTTGAACCTCAGAGAAAGTATGACTTGCCCCCGTGCATATTTTATCTTAATGACCTATAAACTAGAAAGAGGCTGTAAGAGTCAGGAATCACTCGACATGAATGCTCTGGACTAAACACTGGCCATGCCTAATAAACCAAATAGCATATAGCACACGCATTTCTGGACTCACTTTCTTCTCAGGCAGTTCAGAAATCATCTCATATTCTTTCCACAAAGGTAAAATACAGCATTATAAATTTCAAATTAGAAACAATCAGTATTAAATTTACTTAGGCATAAAATATATCTACATAGTTAATGGCTAAGTTATTCATCAAAGACAATTTCCATCTCAGTTTCTGAAGGTTTTGTGAAACCCTCTTATTAATTAGACAGCTAATATGCCATTTGGGCTTCATTGTCTCTGTGATATATATGCAAGTGACTGAAAACATCACCTTTATCTAAAATAATCATAACAGGAAACCTAGTCACGTATTAAATGTTAAGGTAGAGTTGAAGACACTGATTATCTGACCTAAAAGACTTTCCATTATCTTGAGTTATCATTGATAGATTGTCAGCATGCTAAGGAGTGTAACTGTGTGCAGTTTCATTCAGTTACCAAAGAGTATTATTTTCATATTATCGACTTTCCCCAGCTGTGAAAATATATAGAATCCTTAGATTAATATCCTAAACACCAAAACTTCATACAATTAGACAACCACGGTACCTAGTAGTATTTCAGCTCCTTGCAAATTGTTTCCCAATGAAAGAAGGAAGACAGGCATTGTTCCACAGAATACATTGCCATCCTTGTGAAGCAGAGAAGATTAGGAAGGAATGAGTGGCAGAGGAGCAGGTTACTGACCATACCTTCCATGACATACACCAGTGATCCCACATCTCCTTCCTTGATGATGCAGCTGTCTTTGCCATATTCCACAGGGTACATACAATCCACAATCTCCTGGATCTGGGACAGCTCCAAGTTCTTCATGAAGTCATTGTCAAGGATGGCCTCCTTTATAAGATCCTTTGACCTAGGGCAAGAGAGGAAGGAATTACTGACACATCCGACCCGTCTTCAGAGTTCTCGAGGCTCGGTGGAGCCATGCAGTTCTCCGGCACACAATGGATGAATCTTCTTGAAAGGCATGAACACAAGGCATGGTGACAGCAGAAAGAGGCCAAGACGTTTTCCTCCAAGCAAACTATAGTTAAGTAAATGATCAACACACAAACAACAAGCACATTGTTTCAATTTGTTTCACAATGTTTTAATCTACAAAGATTGTGGGAAAAACCAATAGATGAATATTAAATTAAAATTTATAATTTGATCTAAGAATAGATGCTAATTAAGTTTACAAAATTATAAAAGAAATAATTTTTACTCTATACATTATAAAAGAAAATTCATAATCTTCTATGCATCATCTACTAGACTTTACGTTTTTAATGTGCTCTTTTCTGTACACCATATTTCTACTACTCATGCCATTTGTGGTATGGGTGCTCAAGAAATAGTCTAGCTGAAGATTTTTTCTTTCTTTTTTTTTTTTTTTTTTTTTTGGTTTTTCAAGACAGGGTTTCTCTGTGTAGCTTTGCGCCTTTCCTGGAACTCGCTTTGGAGACCAGGCTGGCCTCGAACTCACAGAGATCCGCCTGGCTCTGCCTCCCGAGTGCTGGGATTAAAGGTGTGCGCCACCACCGCCCGCTGAAGATTTTTTAGGAGTAATTCTTAATTATGTCATTGAAACAACTGGCAGAAATGTGATGACCTTTCATCTGAATGTCTTCTTTCTGTAGAAAACATTATTTCTATGAGTATCTTCATTTAGACTAACTAGACAGATGAAACTATGCTGAACAGGATATTCAAAAAGCATATGATTTAGAACTGGAATAAAAAACAGATAGTAGGAAAGATATAAACAAACTTTGCAATTGGGATTCAGTGGTTATAAGAGAAGTTTGCAGAACTTAAAAAAGTATGATAATTTTATTCACAGGGATAAGAAGTTCCACACCACTTACTATGGGTATAAAAAAACAAAGAGAAAGCAGTGCTAAGAAATAGCTTGTCAAGAGGGAAACAATTATAGTATAAGTCAGAAACTGGGTTTAATGAAAGCTGAGTCCTTTCATTAAGGGACTTTCATTAAAGGACATGTGGAGCAGCACACTTGGAATTTTATATCGAATGATTTGAATTTGTAAAATGTGAACACAAGCTGGCCTTTGTTCACACTGACTCTGATAACACACACTGGTTCTCAGAGAAATCGCCTGCAATAGGAACTACTGGCTGAAGTACCAGCAGTTGCCTCCATTTCTGTGTGACTTCTCATCTAGGCTGAGACAAACTGGCCTGATCGTCACACACTGTGCTTCATAGTGATTTGAGTTTAAACATTAACGAGACATACATTAAACTAAAAATACTTACAACTTTATTTCTATGAAAAACTCTGAAAATGGATGGCTGTACTGCAATTAAAAATGAATTTGGAAGGAAGCAAAGAGAGGTATATTGGGGGTTTGGGGGGAAAGAGAAGGGAGAGATGTAGTTACATTAATCTCATTTTTAAAAAAAAAATTAAAATACATTCATGCATAATATTAGAGGCATAGAGAGAGCTGTGATATTTTATGGGAAAAAGCATTATGCAGAATTGTTTTAGGGTAAATATAAGTGTAATGAATATCATAAAAATAATAGGCCTTGAAGTTACATATAGTTAGGCCTTCAGAGAGATAGCCTGGCTGGCTCTAAAATGTTCCTCACTTTTCTGAATTTCCATTGTAACATCTGTAAGACGCCATTTTTAAGAAGAAGAATTTAAAAAAAAAAACTTGTAACAGGTTTCTATGTAAAGCCTAATGACGATATAAAATTATGTTCAGTAAACAGTGAGGGATAAATTTGATAGTAGCAATGACTGCAGAAGCAGCAATATGAGGAATGTACCACATTGTCCAATCATGACTTCAAACAATATCAAGAGGAAACCAACAAAATTTTGACTTTGTGGCCTTTTGTGACAGAATTATGTCTTTCTTTCTATTTTTCTACATTTATAGTTTCCCTGTTTCTGAAGTTTAGAATGGGCATGCATTTTTTGGTAAAAAAAAAAAAAAAAAAAAAAAAAAAAAAAAAAACATTTCAAAAGTAAATCATCAACAGTAGCTACTTTGAGGAAAATAAAACTAATCTATTTTCCATTTAATTAATAATCTCAGGCCATGATTGGCATCCAGGATCTGACTCTTCAGGAGGTTGGCTTTTATATTCTTGACATCCTGCAAGCACTAATGGCAGGAATTTTCACTTCAGAAAGTGATGGTGATAGAAGGAAAGGTATTAAGAATCTCAAGATGTCTTTATCTTAAAAGTCCTGTTTCTGAGGCAGAGTCCTTCCACTGCATGATTTCTGGTGTTCTGGCTTATTTTTAAATTCCCATGTGCATGAAACTTCGTTTTCAGGCCAAAATTGCATTGCTTCTTTTCAGAGTTTAAAACAAGATGCAAAAGTTGTCTTCAAGAAGTTTGCATGCTTAACTATCTTTCTCACTGTGACCTCACAAAGGCTAGTGGTACCTTCTTATTGACTCACATATATATTAATTCATAAATATTTCCCCAAATACCAGAGATTTTATCTAGAATAAATTCATTTTATCAAAGGCATTTCCCTCATATAGAGTGGTATTGACCTATCATATGAATACAGAAATGGTAAAACAAAGAACTCCAAGACCATCTCTGATAACCATGCAAGTTTCCCAAGTACTCAGTACAGAGTGCCAGAGCATTCCAGGGATACATGTTTCTCAAATCTCATTTTGGACGGAGACTGCTAAATCTTGAGTCTCTAAAGAAAATTACTCTAGGCTTCACATGTGCACCTGTGTCAGCTTGGAACAAATTTATTGGGCTGTACGTGAAGTTCAGAGTTAGAGTGCTAGCATTCATGAAACCCTGACTTTAATCTCCAATGCTGCAGAAACAGACAGACAGACAGATAGATAGATAGATAGATAGATAGATAGATAGATAGATAGATGCTGATCAATAGAAGACCTAGGACTTATCATTGATGCCGCCACACAGATTTTGTCAAATGACACTCTTTGTCAATAAAAATATCACAAGTAATCTATCTCTGCATCACAGCAAGATGGAAATTTTGGGCCTCTGTGTGATCTAGTTTGTCTGGCTAGTTTCCTGCCAACTTGACACAAGCTAGATCCACGGGAGAGGAAGGAGCCTCAACTGGGAAAATACCCCCATAAGATCAGGCTGTAGGCCAGCCTGTGTGGCATTTTCTTAATTAGTGATTGATGGGGGAGGGCCCAAGCTCATTGTGGGTGAGGCCACTCCTAGGCTCATAGCCCTGTGTCTATAAGAAAGCAGGCTGAGCAAGCCATGAAGATTGAGCCAGTAAGTAGTACTTCTCAGTGGCCTCTGCATAACTCCTGCCTCCACATTCCTGCCCTGCTTGAGTTTCTGTCCTGACTTTTTTCAGTAATGAACTGTGATGTAGATGTGTAAGCCAAATAAGCCCTTTCCTCCCCATGTTGCTTTGGTCATAGTGTTTCTCACAGCAATAGTAACCTTACCTAAGACAGAATTCCAAATTGATCTTGTCAGGAAATGATATCCAAAGCCCAGGCTTTTAACAGATATTTTAGGCTTTTCCCATAGGAACTTGAATAAAGGACTTTCAGGCAATTCTCACATGCCAAGAACAAAATAAAATGTTCTCTATGGTTTTAGGAACTATCTCCAGAGGCCTGAAATCTTCACTCTTGTTTTTAGGACAGAGTACCCTCAGTGACATCCAAGGCAATGATAATGATGCCACATGCAGCCTTCCCCAGCAGAGTATGAATTACATCTAATTCTTCAGTGTGGAAAGAACGTCTAGGCACTGAAATAGTTGCAGCCATTAAATTCTCTCTAAGCATGGAAACCAGCCAAAACAATCTAATAACTGAACACAAAACTTCTATAATCAACCATTTAAAGAAAACAATGTATCAATCTCTTTAGTCCTCAATGGTCAGCATTGGGCTCAGATATCAGGAAAAGTGATCAATGCAATTCAAGTTCACTGCGGCCTAGAATACAGTCTCTGCAATTAGGAACTTTCAAGTCCTATCCCTCTTGACAATCCACAGCCTTTTCATCCAGATGTAGTCCTTGCAAGACCTCCTGGCAGTTCTAATTCTGAGAGTCATTTCAGAAAGATAACTCCACCTATCTGCTATGATATATTTGAACAATCATCTATCAGACAATAAATAAGTAAAGTCTCTTGAAATAGTTCTCCAGCTGCCACTTAGTTAATATCCTGTTTAGAATGTATCCTTTCTCTGGCACAGTCTTCTTGGGTCAACTCTACAGGTATAAGATGGCTGAGAATTAATATGACCAGCTGACACTTTTTTAAAGGTAAAATTTAATTGGCTAATCCTATTGGACAATTATGGTATTTCCTCGAAATTGAAAACCCATCTACAATGACTTTAGGTCAGAATGTTCACATCTACCAACTCGACTAGCACTTTCCAATCTTATAGCAAGAATATGCATGAGGAAATATAAAGCATTTTTAGCCTTCAGAGGCAAATGAGTATTTAGTATAAAACATTGGCATCAACAGTATAAAATGTACAACAGTAGTGTTTTTCATAGGTAACTAATAACATTAAATTTTTTGGTAATGTGTATGTTGTAACTTTTTTTTATTTTTCTCAAGCTCTAAAACATAAAATTTAGTTCCATTGCCATAAATTACGAAATCAGAGTTAATTAATTCTAGAAATAATAATTGATAATAGGGAAATCTGGTTAGCCAATAAAATATTCATTTGCTAAAATGTCACTTAGATGATAACATAAGCATTCTTCTTTTTTAAGTAAGGCTCCCCTTCATTGTCACTGACTAAGAACAATGATAAACAGCCTTTGAAACCACAGGCTAGCTATTGGCAGAAAATAGAGGCTTATATTAATGACAGGAAAATCACCAGT